GTGTGTGTGTGTGTGTGTGTGTGTGTGTGTATATATATTTATATTTATATTTATATTTTCCAGGCTTGGAAGTGCTATATTGTAGTGCAAGGTAGTATCAAGCGATAAATGGGAAAAGAAAAGAGTAATTTTGAATGCATCTATTTTTGAAAATGCCATTTTCAGCCATTATATTCCCAGCTATCCATAAGCTAGCACGACAGAATCCTTTTAAATGAGTAAAACTTCTTCGGCTTTTTAATATTCCCACACAAAAGCGCAATTTAAACAGACCTTTAATATCAGTACAGTTGAAAGTCAAATCTCAATGCACAAGAGCATAGAGATTACAGTTCTGGAAGTTTTCTCCCAGTTTGGACACCAGGAGGACACAGAGGAGGAACATGCAATCACAGAACAATGATCAAACTCTAAATACATTGTGAGGTTTGGTCCAAAAACAAACAAAACATTTAAACATAATTAATCCAATTACTGCAAACACAGCTTCTCTGAGTAAAGTTAGATATTGCATTTGTAGTGTAAGGTGTGCTTTCCCTTCAGCGAACCAGCGGAGCCTGCTTGAGTGAAATCAGCACTGAGCGCATGCGGGACACATCTTTCGCCTGCTTACTCGACTTGGGGTTAAAGTCACAGAGTCGAGCCACACGTTCCCACTCGGTGCCAGGAGATGAATCATCAACATCGTTCACAAAGACTTCTTCAGCTGCCCTAGAAACAATGCAACACCATGTTTCATTTCAGTCAAACAGGTCTCCCACCCATTCTCCCATGAGCTGCTTCCTAATTATTAGTAAAATCATCAGCATCACCATCATCCAGAATAGCATCAACTTTCCCTTCCTCTGTCTTTAGACCTTCAGATTACAGAAGGGGGAAGAGGCAATAATCAGGCCCACAGGAACAGACAAGTGCTATGTAAAATGCTGGAATACAAGTGCTTGGTTTAACAGAGAAGTGTAATCTCAGCCTTATATAGTGTACAAGACTGAGGAGAGTGGGTTTACCACAGAATCAACTATACAGATACATCACTTGAATCTGTGTATGTTGGATTCTACACAGAGGCCAATATGCAGACTTGACAACCAGCACACAGTCTCATTACCCATACACTGAGTTCTGCATACAGCATAAATCAGAAGATCCACAGTACAATGGCAGAGCATGTGTAGTGCATGCAGAAGGTCCCGGGTGCAATCCTGAGCATTTCCATATAGGGCAAGGAAAAAGATTCCAATCCGAAACTTCGGAGAGCTATTACCAGTCAGTTTAGATGATATCAAGTTAGAAGGATCACTGTCTGATCCTATATAAGGCCACTTACAATGATCCCATGGACACCAACAGAAGTAATCAGATTGGCGGGGTAGGCATACTAAAGGTTGGTATTCAATTGCCTTGAGAATTCAATATTTTCAAATTTTACCAACTATAGCATGAAACTGGAACACTATTTTCAATGCTGTGAAGAGATAGCAGAAATTAGCACGGAAGAAAAGAAGTCATCGCCCTCATGCTTGGAAATGCTATGGACCTAAAGGCTGGAGCAAGGAAGATTGAAGAAAGGCCAAAGAGGAATCTGATTTTTCATTTCATCTGCACTCTTGCACACATTTTGTGCTTAGTGACATCTCCACAAGTTTTGTCCCTTCAATACTAGTATTCTGCTATCTTGCTCACAAACAGAAAAATTACTTTCTGGGACTAATTAAAGCAGACTGTGAGCTCTGGAATATAAGCAAATGCAATAAGCAGACCTAATTATGGGGAGGGGGAAAGGAAGAAAACTACTCCCACAAAGTACAGGGGGGGAAAAAAAGCAATGAGATGAACTTATGAAGTTCAGCACTGATCACAAGTATGGTTGTATTTTACAAACACCACTGATGACAAGGGTCACTACAACACTGCTATTTCATGGGACAAGACACTTAAGGGGCAGTGAAGAGTTTACTTAACTGTTCTAGGCTGTAGCAAGGATGGTTTATGTTTGTGCTTAAAGGTGAAGAGAAACAAAAAGGAGAGTTTAAGTCAGATATAGAAAATGAAAATGAGCATAATGCAGATGGCAAGTAAAGCTGGCCAGACATGCACTTTGGCAGCACTACTGACATTCAGGAACACAGGCCTCCAGAATTTATTGTTCAGGAGCTGACCTGCAGCTTCCCCTCCCCCAGCCAGCTACAGGAAACAGCCTTTCTGCTTGAACTTCAACTGCAAACAGCAAAGGCAGACCCCACCTGTAAGTCCAGCATTTCACAAGTCTGGGGGTTTTCTAGGTCATCTGCCAAACTTCTATAGCAGTGGAAAAAAGTTTCAGTACTAAATTCAGAACAGGAATGGGCATGAAAAACCCATCTGCCTTCTCAAGTACTGCCATGCAACTCTTCCGGGTTGCACAAGGAACCTGAAGATACTGTAGGCAATTACGGAAATATGAATCATGGTAAGGAACAAAGGGCCCCAGCCCCAAAGCAGTTTGACGGCTTCTTAATTCCTGACGTAGCTCCATTCAGCTACAGCTTGCTTTGCACAGATAAGGAAGAGCAGCATCCCCGTCTGCTGAACTTGCCACTGATGGTGTTTTCAAGCAGGAACAAGGAAGTATATGCTGCACGTTGCTCATGCCTCTTTCCCTTGGTTCTTTTTTGGAAGACAAATACTCTGTCAACATCTCTATTACGGTATTCTGTTTTGTTCATCTGGACTAGCACTAGCCAACATAAGTATCGCAATTCTAGCATGTGCACTGGGGAAAGAAGGCATTTGATTCCGAGCAATAGATTTCCCAGAAATATATAAGAGGAAGCACCCTTTATTCCAATCCTTTCAGAGTACAGAAATGGAATATGAGCAGAAAAGCAGAACAAGATACCCCATTCTTTCTGAAACAAGATTAATTTTTATATAGGAAAGTGGTGTAAGTAAAATTTACCCACATATACATTACCTGGGATGAGCTAAATCCTCTAGCAATATTTCATAATAATTCATGAATGAATCTTCCTGTTCTATATTTTATTTATGGAAGTTGTACAAGACTGCCTAAATTTCCTCCTTTGTTTCCATTTCTTGTCAACCACTACAGTAGTTTCAAATCTAGTGTAGCTATAAAGGAGCTGCTTATGTAGCACTTATCATTTTATATGCTTGGGCAACATGATTCTAAATAGCCAAATAACTAAACAGTACAGGAGAAGTGAACTCAGCTGTGAGAAAACAATTCAGTGCTTTCACTTTCTAAATATCAGCTATCTTAATTTAGTTCAACAAAATTCAACTGCACACATTAAGCATTTTCATTCTCAACATACCATGAAATTTAAGACAGGTTTGCTTATAACAAAATTTATGAAACTAAACGCTGATTTGGAAAAGTTCAATTTACTATCCAATTACTATATATCGCCTATTACAGCATTATCTATTAATTTTTATATTTTCACAAGTCATAGTTACTCTAGACAGTTATTCCAGGTGTAAATATACTCTGCTGCAAAACTCAAACCAAACCATGAGTTATCTGACATCTCCAGCATTTGCCATGTAGCGATAAGACTTTCAGTACTATATTCAAAACCCAACAAGAAACAACAGAACTATGGAATCTCTTCCCTTGACATTTGAAAGTTGTTCTTCCTTACAATTGTATTTGAAACTTCCACCATACTTTTGATTAAAATCACCTAAATTATTCAATGAGTATGTGGCCGAAAGTCAGCTAACCATCCTTGGACACCATTATTATTGTCTATTTTTACTGCATATAATACTATGGAAGAAATTGCCCATTCCTGTCCCCACCCCCCATCCTAGAGAGTCAGATGCTTTCTTCCTATTACAGAACATGTCTCTCTGCTTAGGGGTACTTTGAACATAATAACCATCACAGATTAAAAATGTTAAGTAAAAACAGATGGATAATGGATCAGAATATAACCAGTAGTTAGGCAACATACACATAACCGATCACGTCAGCGAAGGGTTGTTTGTAGAAAGCTTCATCTGCCACTCTAGATGGCAAGTGGTCCACAGAAGAGGCAAGCAGACAGAAGACAAAGAGAAAAGAATAAGCAAAAGGAAATATAGCCAAGTAGAATTAAATTTAAAATGATTAACATGCAGATTAATCTGACCCTAGAAATACTTAGAAATTTTAAGTGAAGGAAAAAACATGTAAGAAATATGTGTTAAGAAGTAAACCACACAGTTAAGAAACAACTTGGCTCAGTGAAGATAGGTTAGTCCCTTCCAGACTAAGAATCAAACTTACAAAAACATCCTGCTTGTCCTCTGTAGGTCTTCGGGCACTGTTTTGCACAATAAAATTTCAAACCAAAGGTACCCTGGTAAACTAGGTTGTAAACAACAGCTAACAAAGCCAGCTCAACTTGCAGTAGCTTTTCAAAAACTACCTTGGTTTATGTTAAGGGGAAACTGGCTCTAGAGAGCAAGGATCTGTAAACCTTTGAACCACATACTGACTCTAAAGAGGACATTCCACCTGTCATCTTTCATTTTTATCACAAGGCTCAGGAATGTGGTGGAAGTAAGCTTAGAAGCAACTGTGACTTCCTGACTGAAAAGCACAATAATTCCTAGAGAAGAAAATCTATTTCTTGAATTGGCCATAAAGTGAACTGTCAAAACACAGCAACATGTTTCAACTGCTTCATTCAGATATACCAAATACTGATTATTTTTCAGTTTTCTCCCAAACTACTGCAAGAAGAGACCCAATCAGGTATGTATGTATGTGTATATACACACACACACATTATATACCCACGACATAGTCACACACACACATATTATAGACCCGTAATATACACAATCACACACACACTTTCACTCTCTGATGGGAAAGGGTTGAGACTGTCTCTGTTACTGACAGTTGTTATCCAGTGGCACTAGCAAAATCATGGTAATTCTTATTTTACATATAACCCCATCTATGCAAAGCAAAAAGAGGGGAAGGGGGAATGAGAAAATCCTTATCCTGAAGAGCAATGGAAAAGAATTCCTGAAGACTCCTCAAAGTGGGTCATTTGCCAGCTGTGATTAGCATGGAGCCAATATGTCAGCAAAAGAATATTAATCAAAAAGGGATGCCAAAATCCAGGAGCTGATCATTAACTGTATACGCCTTCTTACCTGTTGTTTGCTTTTGTTTTCTGTAGCTGCTCATCTTGTCTTGCATACCATTCCTCCAACTCCTTTATTGCTTTTTCTTTCCATTCTGCTTCTTGCTTTCGAGAGTTTGCATCTTTAAAAAAGTATAGACACAGCCATGTGGCTTACACACAAATATCTAGTCTTGGGGTTAAATAAAGCTAAGATTCTGAACTATTACTAACTGAAGCTATGGAAAGCATAGCGCTTCTAGAGGATAAACAGTCAATGGAAGCCAGACAGTTTCCCACTTACATTTTGTGAGTGGCAATTAGCAGGATTAAGCAAAAAGCCTTGGATCAATTTCAAGATTAATTAGCAGTTCAAATTTACTAGTTCCTTTCTCACTCCCCAAATGTAGCAAAAATGAAACCACATCCATCCACGCCAACAAAGTTTATGATCTGGAGTAACTCTATAAGAACAATGAAATAGTTGGTCACATAACCCAGTTTCCTAAGACTATTCATTTTTTCTTGGTTCTGTTTTTGAAGTATTGATGGCTAATTCTTTCACAGATTAAATACATAGAACAACGAATGCTATGCAATGTAATCAGCGGAAAAAATTATACACACTAGGAAAAACCACACACATTGCTTCATTTCTAGAATTCAGGATGATTTGGCAAGAATGGTTTATATATATTCTGTGCTTTAAAAACAGGCCTCCCCTATCTTCTGTGCCTGAAAAATTCCCCCCTCTCTACCCAGTGGACAGGAAGACATCATCAAAAAGGAGTCAAGATGCATTCAGGGGAGATGGTCACCAATAACAAATGAAGCATGCCTTGCCCATGGCTTGCAATTCAAGGGGAACTGCCAGTATTGCTGCTCCAACAGTCCTCACTCAGTTCAAAATACAGTTCTCATTAGCAGTTATGTGCTGCTGAAGATTAGACTCTTACCAAGCACTTCTAGGCGCTCCCTCTGCTCTTCTCTCCATTTGCGGATGCTTTCTGGTTCTGTCTGCAGGCGATCAGCTTGAGAAATAGCAGCATAGCAATCTGTAGGACCATTGCTCTCCTGATCCAGACAAAGATGCAGCCATTTTTATAATCACTCATGGATAAAATGCAGTTCTAAGGTAATGTTAGCTTTGTTAGGGAAATGTAAGAAGAGGCAAGTGGACCAACACTGAACATGCTATTTGGGGAGACGAACACCCTATTGGGGTAATATGTATGCTTCATGGCAAGCGAAACATAAAATGGGGGGGGTGATCGTTGGGTTTCTGGGTAGTCTTTTTAAAAAGTACCCTTTGATTGCCAGCTTAGACTATGAAAAAGCAAGTACTGAACAAAGAAGGGGCAACAGTAATAATATTTTGCTAGGGAAATATAGATGAATCTTAATCATCTGTAGGAAACAGAGTGGTAAGTATCTGTCAGGCTAGAAAACTGGCAACTTAAGTATTTCGTGTACTTCCCTAATAATATGCTGTTCCTCAAAGAGTATATCCACCATATATACTTTTCAAATAATAAGTAAAGATATATATGATAGTGGAGAATAAGATTTAAATAAGAATGTTTAGTAAATTACTTTTTTTTAATTGGTGGATTCGTGGAATTAGGTACCCTCATATGCCCCTTTGAATTATACAGATCTTCTTTCTAACCATATTCATCATATGACAGGCACTTTGTTAGTGCTTAATGCTATCACAATTATTCATCTTTTTTCTAGTTATACTTTATATTACTAATAAAATACTTTTTATATTATACTTCAACTGCACAACTTTGCTTTGTTCCCATTTCATTTAAAGTCACAGAGATGCTTCTGATGTTTCCACCAAGACCAATATTTATCCTTTCTACAAATGTCACAGCAAGCCAGTTTTACAACATTCAGTTTCATAAAATGTAATATGTCAAGACAAATATCTGACAATATTAAGACAATGCTCCTTTAATGCTAACAATAACAGAGAAAATAAACATCTGATATAATAGCTTATTTTGTATCACAGACTGTGTCTTGTTATTAATAAAAAAAAAACCCTTCAGCTACATTTACATGCTCAGCAAAGTATCCACTTCTATCCTGTATCCACCTAGCCTTCCTCATAGAAAGATGTGAAGCTAGCTTACTGAGGGATCATCTTAGTTATGAGACAAACATACCATAAAGCACAAAAAGAAATGTAAGTTTGTAAATACCCAAGTATGTATGCAAGGGCTAACAATATGCTGCAGGTCCCAAAAACAAAGCAAGCATGTATTTACAAACTGACAAATAATAAAAGGATATGCACATGTGATAATCAAGGTGCTTTGTCAGCTCCTTGGCTAACTCCCCCACTCCATAATTTTCATTTATTTTTTTCTCAGCATGGTCATAGTGTAACGCCTTGCATCTCAGGGAAACAGTAACAGAAGCTTTTAGGAATTCTCCTTACACTCACTTAATTTCATATTCTTGTACACATGCCAAGATTCAAAGCAAACAGAGAATGAGTTGCTGAGATGCAAATGAAGGAAAACTGAGAGCACTTCTGCTTTTCTAAGAATACTCTGTGGCTAGCCTTTTAAATTTTAGAAGTCAGTTGCCAACTCCAGCATGTGTGTGTTTAATACTGAGGTGCCAAAGGAGGAGACAAAACTCATTGTCAAGAGTTCTGTTCAATAACTGGTGACCATTCTTATACTAGAACTTCATTTACCTGGTAGATATCACCATTCGTCACTCCATCAATTGCATCTGAAGAAGAAGAAATGATCTACGTTAGCTTTCTTGGCAATGCAGTCTTTCTTTAAAACAAGTAGGCATTTAACAGTATGTAAGAAAGGAAACTGAAGAATGAGGTTTTATTTAGTTATATGTAAACAGGCTTCACCCTCTCAACAGGGAATTGAGAGACCAACAGTAAGGAGTACAGAAAATCCATGTTTCAAAGCTCATCTCCCTCAATTATTCACTTGGTGATGTCATAGTTTTCATTTTCTATTTTTCCATTTCCTCTTCCATTTGTAATATAATATTTACAATATACCAGTAAGGTAAACTATTAAAGCCATTATTATAATAGTTTCAAAGCATCTGAAATGCTATAGTATTCATCCTATAAGAAATAAAGCAATTCTCTGAAAAATAATTCAAATAATTAAAGGTTGACTAAATAGACTGTATTATAACAAGAATAAAGCACGAATTGTATTAGATTAGGAAAATTAAGAGTTATCTTGGATAATAAGCATTCACTTTGGGAGAGCTCATGTATACACACACACAACATGGATTAAAAATGCAACACCAAGAATTAACACTTTCCAATGAAACCCAAGGAACTAATACTTTGCAATAAAACTGGTTATGTTTAGAGAGAGAGAGAGAGGAGATTATTTGAGGGACCGCCTCTCCCCAGTTACATGTACCTGTCCCATCAGGTCTGGCGGGAGAGGCAACTTGTGGGTCCTGTTGGCTAGGGTGTTTCGTCAAGCGGGACCTAGGAGGAAAGCCTTTTCTGCCTTGGCCCCCACCCTGTTGAACATCATTCCCCCTGAGGTGAAGCTGGCCTCAAGCCTGTTGGCCTTCCAGAAGGCCCTTAAAACATGGTTCTGTCAACTAGCTTGGGAATCCCATGATAGAGTTGAGCCTGCTAGATGGCTATATGATAGTTGATTGAATACACTCTTTTGTATGCTTTTTTGCCATTTTGTCTTTTATCTTTTTATGTTTTTAATTTAAATTGTTTTTAATGGTTTTTATGTATTTTGTTTTATTATGTATGCCGCCCAGAGTCACTATGTGAGATGGGCAGCTATACAAATATGATAAAATAAAATAATGTTGTATAAAAGTGTACATAATCAGCCTGAATCAATCCACTGCAGGATAAAGGCTGCTTCACTGAAGATCATGGATCTTCATCTACTATGCTGGCCCAATGCAGGTTGCTGGATAGATATTTTTTGACTTCTCAGTATGTGGCTGAGAGAAACTGAGTGCCCAAAGTCATCTAGCTGGCTTTTGTTCCTAAGCAAGGATTAGAACCTAATCTCCTTGCTGCTAGTCTAACACCTTAACCATGACACCTCACTGGCTCTCATGGGTGCCTGTGCATATATATGAATGAAAGTGCTCCTTAAAAACTCTTTATCTCAATACATCAGTTTCATTAACATATCTCAAATAGTTTAGGCAATGCAAAAGTATATATTATACTATGAATTATACAACTAAAACAGAGTACTAGTAATACAATGCCTAGCATCATATATATTTCAATGACCCAGGCTTATAGCCTAAATTATGTAGTATTAGACATCTGAGTCACAATAGCTGCTACAGTTTTAAGCTACATTGGTTGATGCAGAAAAGAGTCACTGCTGTCTCAGAAATATTTATTTCCAGGAAGGAGGTTCTTAAATATAAATTTGACCGGAAGACCTATTTCCATCTTCTAAGAGCAAACAGTGATCAGAGTTGCCAGAAGAAACAAACTGTTGCTTCTGATGGTTAGTTTTGTTTACATACAGGCGGAAGACTGATAAATGGTTTATCTCTGGGAGAACTGTAAGGTTCAAAAGTCATAAAAGACTCCCCTTCCTCTGAGATCAGCCTGCTGAAACAAGTAAGCTCAGATCACAGCAGAAATGGCTTCTTGTGGAATCTTAATTCCAAACAGACTAAATTTGTCTGCCTGAGCCAATTGTTCAGAAGTGCCAATTCCTTGATTCTATTGGGTGATTATCTCCCACTCAATTCCAAACAAGAACCTTTGAGTTTCTAGAGGAAAAAAAAACCAAGGTAGATCCCAGAAATCTGAAGTCTGCTCTGTCCTGATTGAATCTGCTCTTTATGGTTAATGCTACCAGAATAAGGTCAAAAGGACATCCAGACAACAAACCAAACACAGTCCATCATCAATCTGACAAGCTCTTGAGTCTAGTTTGTTTTTGCTGGCTGGAACTGAAGAGATAACAATTGGTAATCCATTAGCTTAGGATGTGCAGAGGTCTCAAATGTACAAGCCTAGCCAAAATTGTAGCTATTTATCCCTTGTTACTTCCAAATGCATTGAATATTACCGTATTTACTCAAAAATAAAATGACCCTGAATTTAAAATAATCCACAAACACAAAACAGAAGATTAGGCGGGGGGAAAATGTCCACATTACCTCTATTTGAGCTATGTTAATGTTAATGCAGATCTGTCTCTCCTATTTTAATGTTTAATTATTTGAGGAAATACACTATTCTTTCTTTCAGGTAAATACAATGATCAGATTCTCTTATGGTGCTGAATGAGTTAGAATTGACCAAGTTCAAAGGAAATAATAGGGCAAGAAGAGTTATTGTTTATTTGATACAGACTAGGTGGAAAGAGCTGCAAATCAATTTGCAACTATGCAAGTAAACAAGAATTGTGAACACTTAACTCTAAATCCAAAACCTCCTATTTCTGTTAAGAAGTGTTTCAGAGCTTTGCTAAGGCAGAGGATTCTAGATATAAATGGGTAAGATGTGCAATCTTATTTCCAAAAGGGATTTGCTTAGGTAGTAAGTCTATCAGCTTCAGCACAGCTAGATTGTTAGGCCAAATCAAAACACTGAAATATAGAAGAGTTATGATGTTAATGCATTTTAATGTGTTCCCAAGAACTATACGGGAAAGGAAATATTCAAAAATCCAATATGAAGACTAGCTCTGTTCATGCAGGATAGGCCTTATGGAAACCATATGCCATTTTCTTTTATACTGTATTCTCTATGACACTCATACATATTATACAATTCCATTAATAATTAATTTTCCAGGGCAAGTGGAAAATTAATTAGATTCATTATGTACTGTCATATCACAACAATTTCTCAAAAGTCTTAAACTATATTATTTCTAAAATTCACATGGAATCCACTGTTTAGCATTAATGTTTTATTGAAATTATCACTTTTATTAATTTTATTAATTTGTTTTTTAACTTCATCCATAATAATTAACTAAACATTAACTAACAATGAGTTGTTATTAGTTAACCCTTGAAGACTGAAGTCATATGAATCCAATGATTAAATATTGAAAGGGATGAGAAAAAAGGACAAAAAAAAAATCCAATATACTAGCATTTGTTTAGAAGCAGGAACTTTGCACTTACATATTCCACCCTTTGCCAGAAGATTAGATATCTGTGGTCACACTTCCTTTTGTTCCATCTGAACAGAAAATAGTGGTTACCAGGAACATAGCACATCAGGCCCTGAAACCAATTTAAAACCATGGTTTCAGATCCCTGATTGTTCTATAGTATGCTGAAATCAGCAACACATGAGATATGAAAATTTGCATCTATATCTGCTTTACTAAGCAAAGATGTGAAAGACTGAAACTGGACCTCATTTTTACATCTCCAGGTTGCCCAGCACCTAAACAGATTTCACATTCAAATGTCAACATAAACTGTTAAGTACAGTTAATTAATGGAATGCATTTAATTGCAATTATTTAAAGGAATGCTTTAGTTGAGCTCAACTGTCTAAAAGGATAATTTAGAATATCTTTATATAAAATAAATTCCACTCAACAGAACTGTATCTGGCACAATTTAGGTTCTGTGTGCAGGAAACAAAAAAGTTTTCACTTTTCAATAGTGTTTAGGACTGCAATTCTGATATACTGATTTTTAGGTGGGCCATTGTTTTTAATGTTTACTATCATCTTTAGTATTAAGCATGGACCAGACAGTTCCATGACATGCAAGTAGGCATCTGTTCATGCTCTAGGATTCCCCTTGCTCTCTATTCCCATGCATAACCACTCATCTGCCCCAAAGCAGCCTTAGGGATATGAGTGAGCTAAAAATTCATTCTGCTAGTGAATATCATATTAATGGACATACAACTGCAACCTTAATTGTACTGCTACTTTCTCTGTTTATTCATAATTTGTAATGACTCCTGTGCTCATGAATTGTTTCTTATAATACTAGACAGGCTTTGTGTACCGTACTTATTTCTTGATCAGAAAGTCACATGATAAAGTTGGTCTAAAAGTAAATAAAACTTAATGTTTGTGCTCAATTCAACAATCCCATAAGCAAAGAAAGGTCTGATAGTAAGAGGGGACCACTATCCGCACTTGAAAGAATATAGAGCACAAAGCTGATAACTGAGTTATAATTTATCTGCATAGGGAAAGGGAAATGTGCACCTCTCTCCTTCACCAAACACAATATCTAACAGTAGCATTCATTATTTAATATTACATTATTTCCCCTTCTTGTCTCTTGAGGTGAATGGGGAAATGAAGGATGAGTATCTCTTAAGGAGAATCACATCCTGGGAGGAAACTTAGTTAGCTCCAAGTGGCAATGTAAGCATTTTATTAGGTATGGAAGTCTAACCAATGCTACTAAATATAATTGTCTTTCAAAACAGAACACCTATGCTCATCTGCCATTCTAGCAAACAGTAATAACATTTTATTTTATGAGTTTAGGCTGTTGGAACACTCAAGCTTTAAAAAATATAAACTGGGTTGATATCTTTCCAACTTCTTCCATCAAACATTTTCACATTGCTCTTCTGTTCTTTCCAGACCAATGGAATGTTGGAAAGAAATTGTACGAAGGGTTTAAAACTGACTGTAAGCATAACATTCCATAAAAATGGAACAGAACAGGATCAATTTGGTGTGAGCGGGAAGAATCCAGCAAAAGAAAGACTGAGTTTGAAAATGAGCACAGTTAAAAACTCCAGA